GAATAGAAGTACTTGGTACTTCAACTGGTGTCGGTTTTCGAGCTTCGGACGTGGCCTCTGTACGTGGGATGTCTGAGACTCCTCCACTACCGGCTATACAGTCGATATTAACATATGCACATCGTTGAGCAAGAGATTATCTTGAGCTCCAACATTGTCATTGATGGGGAAGAATGTTGTCCATGCTCGCTGTCGGAAGTAGAACCCTCGAGCGCACCTATGTCAACCACCTCTCTTTCGTATAATGGACATCTCTGGTAGTCCCTCTTCATCTCCGTCTCCATGAATGGATAAGATATGACCAACTGTATATACATTAGAGGAAAAAATGTGTAAATACAATTCAATAGAACTACACAACAGTAAATATATTCTACGTTACCGTTCAGTAGACTTAATTTTAGATTGTTTACCTCCGCTGAACTAAGCACCTTCTCCCCCAAATCTTTTGTACCAACGACTCTACTGCACGAATACCGAAATATCTAGATAATCATGGTCTCACTCAATCAATTAACGTTGGAGTAATGAGAGATGAGACGACCTCATATATCCACACCTAATATAAAATCGAAGTTTAATTTAACGCCTCAAAACGTTTTAACCAACAAACAGGAACTAGTATGCATGTATATTAATTACCTGGAACGCAAGAGGAAATTCCGCTAGACTATACTTCACTTGATATTTTTTGTTCGTTCTGGCTTTATTTTTGTTTAGCGCAACTTTGTCATTCATCACACGCTTGAGCCCGTTAAGTGTCCTACTCCAAACATCATAACCCCAGTCCAAGTGGTTAAAGTAGTCCAAGTCACCCACTTTATTGTACAAGTTAATGTCAACTTTGGATTTGCTCTTGCTCTTTCCCATCATCACGAGCTCGGTGTACAACATTAATGTCATTTAACGATATTGTCATCGTCCTCGAAATCAATCTGCTTGTAAAGCTCCACAAATTGTTCAAACAAGATGGACACTTCGTCGTTGAAGTACTTCCTCCGCAACCTATTCTTTTGAATCTTTTTCTGGACCACCTTACCAGGCAGCTGCCACAATCTCGTTATAAGCAATAATTGATCCTTCGAGAATGTCAACACATTGCCACCAATGAAGAATCTCATGTTGTCTTCATTGCTACCAGCAACCTCCCTTGACAGAAAGTGATGAACTACACCACTGCAAAACATCATCTCCAAGTCAACAAATCGACCAAATATTGTTCTTATACGAAACGTATCAAGTTATTTGCTTTGAGCTTATCCTTGATAAGCCTGTTCACATTGCTCAGTTACCAGCAATAGGTCATTCTCCAAGTGCTCAAGTGAGACATGTTGGTAGCTTGAGCCATAAAGAGGTCATTCTCCTTAATCCTCATTTGATGGTCTACTGTGCACCTGCAACAAATTAAACATGATATATGATCACAAATTAAGCATATAGGGAAACACGTAACAAATTGAAAAAAATAATCGTAACCCACTGGAATTTCTCTCGCTCTCGATGAACAATGATAACGTTGAACCTCGCCCACTCTATTTCTCGCTCACGCTATTTCATGCTTAATCTATTTCTCACTCACGGTCTTTCTCAATCTCATTTTTCGCTCTGGCTATTTCAACATCAGCCCCCTACAATAGCACTGGTTTTCAATAACACGATTTTTTCTGTCATCGTTTCATTTCCACGGCGCCGATTATGTATTTTCCTCTTTTTCGAAAAGCCTTAGATGTATAAAATCCACAAAATTTTGCTAAAGAGACAGACGACCAACATAGAGGTTGTACAAAACAAACGAACAATAGCTACAATAGTGGAAATTAAAACGAAAAACTTACGAAAGTGCTTCATCTCACCGCTTGAAGACAGAGTCAGAGTTACCTTAAGGAGTCGCAGTCGGAAGACGAATGAGTAACGAGAAATCTCAAAATCTCAATCTCAATTTCAATCGCAATTGGTGAAGACAAGTTATTTTGAGTGAGCGATAGCTAGAGTATGAGTGCGAGAAAGATGGAAAAGAGGTGGGAAAATTGAAATTTTCATCTATTCGTATTACCCAAGTAAGGAGGGCAGAGACGGTCATTTGGCAAAGTGAGTGATGTCAACAACTAGAAAACTTATGTTTTGAAAATGGCGATTAAAAAGGGAAATTGGATGGAATAGGCGTTCTCCCATGCCTTTTATGTTTTTTAATCACCATTTTCAAAACCTATGTTTTCTAAGCGTTTGCTGACATTACCCAATTGAAAATTTACTTTCACTACCCCTCCACTTATACAATGCATTGTCTCTCCATCCTCTCTCTCATCTCCCTTTTTCTCCTCAATCCTCTCTTTCATCTCCCATTTTTCTCCTCCCATTTGTTCTCTACACCATCTCCCTTATTCGTTTCTTCTTCTTGTTTTTTTTTTTCCGCTTGGACACACCTCTCATCTTTTTTGTTTGAGTTATACATAATATTCCACCTTATTATCTTTTTTCGCTTGAGTTTTACGGAAAAAAAAAACACCCATTTTAAATATTTCATCTTTTTTTACTTGGGTTTTACGAAAAAAAATACCTCTTTCAGATCTTCCATTACTTCAGAAGCAATTTCTAGATCTCGCTCTTGCTCTCTCTCGCTTTGGCCATTGTTTTTTTTCCTCTCACGTAATGATAGGGGAAAGATAAATTAAATTTTAAATTTAAAATTCAATTATACTTAAAACTACGAGAGATTAAATGAGATTTAAGGAGATCGAGGAGAAATTTAAGGAAACAAATTTAGATTAAATTTTAAATTTGAATACCAAATGACTAAAATTAAGGAGATCAAGGAGAGATCGAGATTCTGTTTCTTTGAATGCCAATTTTCAAATTTTTAATTAAAAGAATCTTTAATCTCTAATTATTTGTTAATTCATTTTAAATTTGAATTTGACCAAATTGTTTCGAAATTTATTTATTTAGTTTTGATCGATTTAATCTGATTATGATTTCATTTAAAATAACTATATATTATCATTATTATTATTTAAATAACATTTTATCTCAACTATCTCGCTCAACTTTTTCTCTCTCTTTCCCATCTCCATCCCCATGGTTAGGCTGAACTTTCTCCTTCACTGAGCTTCCTTCCTCGACAAACGATCTCCCTCGTCGATTTTGATGCACCTGTTGCTGGCGATTGCTAGAGATCACCAACATCATGGAGGCTGCTCGTTAAAAAAAAAAAAGAAAAAATAGAGAAGGTTGAGAGGTTTAGTGTACTTTTATAGTAAATAAGAAGGGAACAAGAAATCCAATAAAATTTTAAAGAGAATGAGTGAAAAAATCCATGGAAGAGAGAAAGAATGAATTAATGGAAAATTATAGAAGAAAAAAAATGAGAGAGAGGGGAGGGAAATAGAGAGGAAAAAATATTGGGAAATTTGACTCAATAGGCGTTGTGTAGGACCTTTTTTGTTTTTTAAGCGTCCTTTTGAAAACAAAAGTTTTCTAGTCATTTGATAATATGAAATTACATATTTACCCTTCATTCACTCTCTTTCATTATTATTTCTCTTTCTCATTCTTCAACTTCTTCTCTACCTATCTTTCTTTCTTTCCCATTTTTTCTCTCCATCATCTCCTTTAT